CATGTAATTTATAATTTATAAACTTTTATCACATCATTCTCATGGTCTATCATATCTTTGCCTCAATCTTGAATTATTTACTATTTTCACAAAACCATAAATAAAGATATGATTTCACAGTCGAGTCAAAATATTTCATCAAGTAGCACAATAATGCAGTGATAATACTAATATTTTGTGAGAATATTTCTCACATAATTGCCATACACGCAATTATATTCACTTCAAGTGAAGGCTCAATGTTTTTCAATTTTTTTCCATCCTAGTAGCCAGTAGTCTCACTAGAAATTTATCAATATAGATGACCATTAGTTTGCTACTAGAAGCTACTTTATTTCTTAAAAATTCTCAATTTCATCTAGTAGACCAGTAGTCCATAAATTTACTAGGAACCATTTTTGCCATCTCCATGAAATTTTTATAGAACTTCATTTTAGAAGAATATGAAATACTCAATTCAAGTATCTTCACATTATATTCACATTTTTGAGTGTGTATCCATTTGCACAAACTCAAAGAAAGAAATAAGAAATCCAAAACCATGATACTCAATGTCATTTAACATTGCACTTAATTGCAACTTTAAAATTCATACTCACAAGTTGAAAAAATAACATAGTATCACATGAGATTTGTAAATTTTTTTTTTGTTATTCACAATAAAAATCCATGTTACTGAGAATCTTCAATAATGTATCAGATTCTTTGCATTAATTTTTAGCAAAGAAAAAAAATCCCACTATTTTAGTGGTTTAATCATACACAACTAAACGCATATCCTCGCATTCAAAGAACAAGTCCTATGCATAGTAGCATAGGAAATTACTATGAACCCCCACTGTTTGTCACAACTTTATAACATGCAATAGAGTATATATCTATTGTAATTAAAGTAAATAACTCAATTAATCATACCCCTTGGAAGTTCATTTTTAATTGTTAAGAAGGCACCTTTAAAATTTCTTCTGAAACACATGATGGCAACTTGTCTAGTGCAGCAACAAGTTGTAATTGTTCAATAATTCAAACTCTCTCGAATCTACTTCTCTGCACGCCATATTTTCCAATTAAGCATTCCAAAATTTTGGTATTAGGATAGGAAGTTTCATAAAAACTATAAAAGTCATTATAATACTAGTAATGGAATTCAACAACTTCCATTTTTCCTAAATTTTTCTTCACAAGCATTCTTTTATACTTCATATATCTCATTGGTTGAGATCATCTCATTTTTTTCGGTCCATAGGTAGACTATTCAAGTCACTTGAGTTGATTGTAAGGACTTGTAAGTTAAACTCCATCTTGATCTGAATCACCCTTAAAATTGTTGTTCCGTTAGAACAAAAATCAAATGTTAAATATCAAAATCAACAATAGTTGTAACAATAATTTGTAACAATTATAAAATTAAATATAATAAAATAGTTAAAGTGATAATATAATAATATACAATTGTGTAGAGTTGAGACAGGGATATCTAAGGTGATTCAAATCTCTACAAAACAACCAACTCCAGTACAGCAAATTCTCCGACTTGTCACCCTCAAAATACTACAGTCCAGTCACATGTGCTTTTACTCTCATTAGTATGCACAACTAAAAAAGTATAACTCCATTAACATTGATTTTTCTTGCCAAATTATGAGATAGAAAAATAATAGAAGAGTAGGTAGTTTTTCTTTTATGAATTGTAATTCACAAAATATAAGTTGTTATATCATTTTTTTCTATCTCAACTATACATATTTATAGGTGAAAAAAATTAGTCAAACATAACCTACACTACAGTAATAATATGCTAAGTAAATATTGAAAGTTATTGGCTATTCGAGACACATCCCAATTGAATTGTAGGTTATAAAATTTATTGTAATTGAAAAGTCATAATTTCATATAATAAATCTTTGGTAAAAAATTATTCAAACACCAATAATTTTTTTTTTAAAATAATTTATTCTTCTTGTAACTTACACATTTAATTGAGAATTTAACTATTTTATTGAAATACTCCAACATGTACTATTTAGAGGAAAGTACATATACTCTTACTTAAAACAGTACTTGACTACATTCAGCACATGCCCCCGCGTGAATGGTCCAGCGGCAGCACCTCTCACCAGTGACCCTTGAGGTTACAAGTTCGAGTCTCCGCTACGCTGGATTCCTCTGCGCACTTAACGTGTTCGGGCCGGGTTGGGGCGCCGGGTCCGGGCCGCAGGGGATTAGTCGGGCCCCGTAAGGATTGACCCGGACACCCCTGTGTCGACAAAAAAAAAAAAAGACTACATTCAGCACATCACTAGCAATAATTTCCCAACTCCCTTTGAAAAAGTCAGCAGTAAAGCCATCAGGCCTAGTCGCTTTACCAGCTTTCATCTCAAAAATAATAATAACATTTCTTATTTCTTCATCTGTTATACGTTTTTGTATCAGACACCTCTCTTCTTCAGACAAAAAGGTAGTGATTATCGACTCTAGCTTACTAGCTTTTGACAAACTATAACACTGTTGTTTACTGAATAAATTCTGATAAGATTGAACTTCTATATTCTTGATCTGATTGTAGTCCTCCACCTTTTCTCTTTATTCAGTAGTTAAAGATAGAATTTATTTTCTAGCATTATGCCCCTGGACTTTTCTATGAAAGGAAGCCATGTTTCTATCACCTTCCTTTAACGGTTTAGTCCTGGACTTATTCTTAAAAGAACATTCCTCTGCTATAAGTAATGCTGTATATATTCACCAGTGGCATATTTACTGTTAGAAAATTGGTTTACTTTCTTTTAGATAACTTTTTTGTTTTGTATGAAAGTAATTAGTTTTCTAATTGATTTTAATTACTTGAAATAGTAATCAAGAAATTTTCTATTTCGTTTAAGATTTAAAAGTTATTTCCTATTCTGTACAATCTAAGAATTAGCACTGATTTTCTGTTATTATTTAGGTTTTGATCAAATAATACTCTCTATAATTAGGTGGGTTGGCATACTACACAAAAGACACACAAGGAGCACATAAGAGCAATATGTAGCCTTATACATGGGGATGAGAAATGGTTCTTGAGAGATGAGAGATTGTAAACAAGGGTTGGATTTGGATTCAAATTGTATTCTTATATATGATTTTCTTCTCATAATAAAGAACGAATTTCTCTTCATAAACGTAGATTCAATAATAGAGTCGAACCACATTAAATATTGTGTGTCGTTTATCTTTTATATTTGTGGCTTATTTATTATTAAATTGTTGTGCACTTGATGTCTTAATAGTTGTGTGTTCAATGATTGGATCCCAATAAACTGGCATCAGAGTCAAATTGTGAGACTGACCTGCTCACAAGCACTTGGATCCCAATAAACTGAATGATTAGATCAAGAGTTTGGTTGTTCATAGTTGGATCCTGGTTAATTATTGAGATCAAGTGGGTTGGTGACTGTTACCAATTAAACAATTTAATGAGTGATATCTTTGTTTCAATGGTTTAGTAAAAAGTATTGATGGTAAATGATGAAAAGTAAAAAAATCATGGAGACATTTGACGGTGAATCTAGATAGGTGAATTAAGGGTCAAGGAAAAAGTAAAGTTCAACGTTGATTTTGGACGTGAATCGATGAAGACTTTCTCATAACTCTAACGGTTGATACTTCATCCCGGTAGCTTTTAGATCTCTGTTATATTCTTTGGATGGTGTGGCACGTGTCCTAAAAAAAATAAAGAGATCTAATTTTCATGTGTTGGAAAATTCTGATTCTAACAGTTATGAATTTTTTATTTTAGGTGGAGTTTTGGAAACCACACGTGGCGCGACAGTCATCAGAATGGAAAAAAATATGGTGATTTTACTACTTAGTTGCTTTACTGATTAGGGTTAGAATTCATAAAAGGGGATCTCGAGTTGTAAGTGGTGGTGAGAAAAAATCCTGCAAAAGGAGACGGTGAATTGAGGCAACTTCTCGCGAGTCAACAGGAGATTAGATTCGAAGTAATTATACATGTTCATTTGTCGATCGAATCAATTTGGTATCAGAATTATATTAATTCGGGTGTGTAGTTCGGTATCATGTAGTGAAGGCAAATAATTGCTAAAAGAAATATTTGCCAAGGTGACGATTTGTTAGGAAATTAACTTAATTTTTTTTAAACAGATTTTTTATTTTGTGTGAAAATAATTAGTTTCCTAATTGGTTTTAATTATTTGAAATAGTAATCAAGAAATTTTCTATTTCATTTAGAATTTAGAAGTTATTTTCTATTCTCTACAAATTTAGAAATTAGCACTGATTTCCTGTTGTTATTTGGGTTTTGACCAAATAATATTCTCCATAAATAGGTGAGTTGATATACTACATAAGGGACACACAAGGGGCATACAAGGATAACATGTAACCTTATACATGGAGATGAAATAGGGATCTTGGAAGATAAGAAATGGTATACAAGAGCTGGATTTGGATTCAAATTGTATTCTTGTATAGAGTTTTCCTTTCATAATAAAGAACGGATTTCTCTCCGTGGACGTAGATTCAATGATACAATCGAACCACGTTTGTATGTCGTTTATCTTTCATACTTATGGTTTATTTATCATTAAATTGTTGTGCATTTGATGTATCAATAGTTATGTGTTCTGCATTTGGATTCCAACATTTACAGCTTGCCCAACTCAATGTTACAAGGATCAGCTTGCAATAGTGTTTGCAAAGTAATTATTTGGTCTTTCTTCTGCCTGACACTGTCACAAATATTTCCACACTGTTTCTTATTCAATGTTTTCAAGCCTTTCTCCACATTTCAAAGTCGAAAATCACTAGATTTGACGAACCTTATGCCAAAGAATGCTACAAAATTTCAGGTTGACCATGCTACTTCTAAGTGTTTACGGGCATGTTTTGGCATACCTGAACCCATATTTTCTTTTATTTCCCGTTCCTTTTTTAACGCCTCTCTTTTGATATCTGTTCACAAAGATCGTGGTTCATTTGTAAAAGGTAATAAACAATTTGTTTCATCCACACTCTCGTTGTACAATCCATTATCCAGAAAGAACAATAGAAGGTAAATTGACAATACATCCTACAAAACTCTCTACTACTGATCAGAAACAGCAATAATAAACAAAATAGCCACAATGATGATGATGATGATGATGATGATGGAATCACAATGTAGGCAAATTTGTTAATCTTATCCAAATTGGCGCTGGTAAGTTAGTACAGACATGATGGTCTGTGTAAAACTAAGAACAATGATGAGGAAGGCAGAAAAAGCGGAAATAAATGACCATGGACTTCTGAAATAAGTCCTCATCATGGTTGCCCAATAGCTATTGAAGTATGCATCCAGCTCTTTGAACTCCTTGTAGAGGTAACAACTATGGACGTTGATCACAACATTTTTCCCAAGATTGTTGAAAAAATCAGCCACATACATGTCATCTTGTGAGAATCTTGTGATAATCCCATCTAGACACAGTAATGCTACATCTCTTGGCCGATGGATGAGACAATTCATGAAAGAAATATAGTCTGTGAAGTATGTTGGTTTATCTTCTTGGCATTGTTCCCAGGCAACACAGTTCAGGAGAAGGGTCCTAGTGAAATCATTCACAGTTATTGCTGGGATTTCTAGGACTCGGTTGTGGAACTTGATGTCCAAGAAACTGTCGGCTTTTCGCGGCTTCAACTTGATCCCTGATGGCCTTAACTCTGTTACACTTTGTATTGATTGACTTGATGGACGATATGCATCAAGATGTTTCGGTTTTGTCTCTTGATTTGAGGGTAAGAGACTCAAGTAGAACAAATCAAGTAAATGCAATGGTTTGAAAGCAGCCATGCACTCAAAGAAGATATCAGACGGCGGTGGAAAGAACAGGTCGAAAACTGTCAAGGCAAGACAAGGGAGTGAGCGAGTTTTATCTTCTGGAAGCCATGACGGGAGAAACAGTTCCTCCAGGACGAAAAAAGGCAGTTGGTTCTCCAATTTAAGAAGATCCCTGATGAGAATTGGTATTATCCATGGCTTGGTGAAAATTGGATCATCTTCATCAACCGAATCTTCACTAGAACCAAGATGGCGAAGGAGACCGACAACAAAGCAGGCATCTAATAACATCATTTCAACAAAATCATGGCTAGACATGAGCAATTTATCAGAGTAACAAGCTCTCGCCCTGGCTTCTAAGTCCCTCATGCATCTAAGGTAAGTGCTTAGACCACTAAAATGATTATTGTGATTTCTAGAGAGAATCTTGTCTAGAAAGTACCATTTGTGCTCTTCAAACTTGAGTAGATGATTTTTGCCGCGGTGATAAGGACCTATTGACACAAGCTCAGGCTCTTCAGCCTTCTCATTTGTACCTGTTAGGCCACATGGAAGTCTGAATATGCATATGGATGAGGTATTGCCTTCTTCTCTTGCCACTTGACGCCATTTCTCCAGGCCTCCTTCTATGAGATTTAGGGAATACTCAACTGAAGCTTGATCTTCTGTTTCAAAGTGAGCTTGATCTTGCTGCTGCCGGCTTGTTAGTCCTTCAGAATCTGCATATTCATGATAGCGCCATGACCTTGATTCAGGTTCATGAGTTGATCTTCCTTCAAGGGTATTATCATCCTTGTGGTCTGCCGCCTTTATCTCGTTTGAACTATTTCCATTGGGCAGTGATATTGCCCTCTTACCTTTTTTATCTTCATCTAACTTTTTCTCCTGCTCAGACTCATCTATATTAATAGCTTGATACTCCATGGTTTCTTGGTTTTCTGCCTCTCACTTCCGCAAAACATTTCTCAGTTTATCCATAGTTGGAAGCTAGAACTCAAGAAAGGAATTGGAGTACAAAATTTGGTGAACTTGCAAATCTGAAACTATGAGATTCCTACTTAACAGCATATATATTCAAGGTATGAGCGAAGATAGATGCAATTTTCAAGCAGTTCCCGGGGGGGCTTCTCTTGAATTTCCTGGAAAATTAGCTACTATCTCCTTTATACTTCTAGGCTACTGATTTGAGGTATATTGGAGTAGGAAAACAGCTACACCGTGGCTCAGTCCCTATCAAGGGACCTGCATGTCAATCACTTAGTGCATTTGTATTACCATGGGCGAACCAATTATTGATTGGACAAAGTAAAATTATTGCGGCAGTAAAAAGTTGCAAAATTTACAGTAGGCGATGATGTTATTGGCACTCTATTGTCTCTTAATGGCATTCCATTCTCTTCATGTCTTTTGCAAATATTACAAAAGAGACATATTTCATTAATAACTAGAATGTCTCGTACTAAAGTTTTGTTTGGACTGCATTTTTCTGGACTTTTTATAAAAAATTACTATAGCGATTTGATATATATGAATTAAAAAAATGATTAGAAAATATGTCTACGAAAAACGTTGTAGCAATCCAAACACACCCTAAAGAAACACGAACGTACAAATATACTTGAATATAGTTTCTTGCATGCTAAGGAGGCAATTGGGTTAGTTTTGGATTCAAGGTGGCTGTGCAATCTCATTACAACTGATCCATTATCAATCCTAACAAATCTTATGGAAGTTTGTCTCGAACTAATGTCGGATTAACAAATTTTTACTCATGAACCTAATAAATATTATGGAAGTTTGTCTCGTGTCTTTCTTCCTTTGTATTAGGTAAAAAAAACTTGTTGCTTTCTTGAGCATCCATGCTCTGAATTGAACTTGGAAGACAGCTTTTGCTTTGTTGGATAGCATCAAGCTTTATTTTCGAGGTAGTTGCTTCGCAGTTAGGCGTATATGGACTCAAAGATCCTTCTTGACGTGGTCAGTCGCGTTTACTCTGCACTTTTGGACTATGCATCACATCTTATTCAAACTTCAAAGACTACAATTGGACAGACCTTTTGCCTCTCACCATGCCTTTAGGAAAGCAAATTTCGTCGAAGACCCGGGCAGAATATCGCCATTGTAAATGACATATAGCACATATTTTCCATCTTCTTTAACTTTTGGCCGTGGTTATAGGATGGAAAGTTCTTAGATCTTAAATTTTAATTCATAAGCTGTATGAGTTGAGGCTCCCTGTCTCCTGTCAACTTTTTTCTCCTATATAGTAATAGAATTAAACAGTTAGACCTCATGGATTTTGAACTTGGATAACTATATTCTTAGAACAATGTGAATCATATTAAAATGTCTAGCAGCGTAACATGTGCTGGGAAGATTAAATATCTCATAGCTAGAATAGAATTACTCTTGTAGGTGACATGGGAAAACTTGATGAAAACACTGGTATTGAAATACTGGGAAATTAGCATATTCTGCAGGCTTCAGATTCTACCAATCTAGAAGACCTTCTTTCCAGACTTTAACCGTTCAGATTCTTGTTACTGGTTCATAGTTATTGGACCCCTTTTCCAATGTTCATTGCGGACCAAGATGGCTCTTTCAATGTCAAAAAGAGCACAAATATGAACATTCGAAGGAAGCCATGTAGCTGTTTCCATTGATTACGCGTCTTGTGCCGCGGTGCAGTAGCCAAAGGTACTCCAAAATTTCTCCTTTTTGTGTATCTTCCATTACAATCCTTCTCCTTTTGACTGATGGCACTTTTGAATTCTACTTAAACTGTATAGATGATTGTTTTCATCAAAAGACCTATGTTGAAGACTTTCACAAACAAGACCCACGCAAGTACTTAAACACTCCAATACTCATTTTGATTCATAAAAAATTTTGGTATCAATGCAAGGAAAAGGCCAAGCATGAAGGAAAACAGCTGCTGAACATGAACAATTTAGGAGGATAAGAGAAGGGTCAGCAAGTAAAGAAAAAAATTTCAAGATGGTTAGTGCTCAGTGAGTGAAAGATCCTGTTGTTGCAATGTTGATTTCAGATGGGGAAAATAGTTTTAGATGCAAACCTGCATGTATCCTCAAGTATGTAATAACTCATGTATGTATGTTTATTTAGTGTTAACTAATAGATGTTAATACTCTGCTCCCATATAATTTTGTTGAGAAAGGTTACCGGTGTAAGCATACAATATCAGAGTTAATTCAGGACAAATTGCTCTTTTATTAAGTATCAATTAAAATAAGAACAAATCAAATCACCGATATCAATAGCAACAGCAAAATATAGAAAAGTAAAGGCACATGACAAATCTAGTAAAAACCCAAATTGGGAAAAATTACGAGAACTAATCTAATAAAAATCTCTACTATTACAATAATGGGACTATACGAGCCTATTCGGAGCATCAGCATGACAATAACATCAACCACAACAATCAAGTGGATCTACTACAAATTCATCTCCCAAATTCTACAACATTCTAAGAATTGAGTTTGGAAGGATATTACCACACAAAGTGGAAATTCGAAATTGGACATGTAGAGAAGTATAATTTGACGTGAGGATCGTGCTTTTAAAATCACCATCCGATCAAGGTCTTGGAGTTGCAAAACTTCGTTCTCTTTGGCCCTTTTTTCCCTCACACTCACAAAAATGGTGGCTGATGAATCTTGTTCTAAACTGAAACTTCCGGCAGCCAATTTCATCAAGTCATTCTGAAAGGAATGTGTTAATTGATAGAGAATTAATCATGGATGCATTGGTAGCTCTTCTTTAAATGTAGTAATAGATAACATTGAACTTTTGAATAAATTTGTTCTCTTCTCTGCTGATGATAATAGTTCTATAGTAGTTGTTATTATTATATAATTATTCTTGTAATTATCCTTTTACTGAAATATATGATAAAGATGACTTTTGACAAAAAAAAAAAAAAAATTCACCAAAATTGACAAACCTTGTGCCAAAGAATACTACAAAATTTCAAGTTCACTATGCTGCTTCTAAGTGTTTACGGCCATATTTTGGCATACCCAAATCCATATTTTCTTTTATTTTACTTCTTTTAAACTCCTAATTTTTAAATCTATTTTATTAAGACCGAGATTCATTTGTAAAAGGTAATAAACATTTTGTTTCGGCCACACTCACATGATGCAATATATTATCCAGAAAGAACATTAGAAGGTTAAACTGACAATACACCTTACAAAATTCTCAACTACTGATCAGAAACAAGAATGATAATCAAAATAACCACAATGATGATGATGATGGAATCACAACGTAGGCAAATTTGTTAATCTTATCCAAATTGGCGCTGCTAAGTTAGTACAGACATGATGGTCTGTGTAAAATTAAGAACAATGATGAGGAAGGCAGAGTAAACAGAAATAAATGACCATGGACTTCTGAAATAAGCCCTCATCATAGTTGCCCAATAGCTATTGAACTATGCATCCAGCTCGTTGAACTCCATGTAGAGGTAACAGCTAGGGGCATTGATCACAACATTCTTTCCGAGATTGTTGAACAAATCAGCCACGTATATGCCACCTTGTGATAATCCCATCTAGGCACAGTAATCCAGCATCTCTTGGCCGATGGATGAGACAATTCATGAAAGAAATATAGTGTCTTAAGTATCTTGGTTTATCTTCTTGGCATTGTTCCCCGGCAACACAGTTCAGGAGAAGGGTGCTTGTGAAATCATTCACAGTTATCGCTGGGATTTCCAGGACCGGGTTGTGGAATTTGATGTCCAAGAAACCCTCGGCTTTTCGTGGCTTCAACTTGATCCCTGATGGCCTCAATTCTGTTACACTTTGTATTGATTGACATGATGGACGATATGCATCAAGGTGTTTTGGTTTTGTTTCTTGATCTGAGGGTAAGAGACTAAAGTAGAACAAATCCGGTAAATGCAAAGGTTTGAACGCCATGCACTTCAAGAAGATTCAGAGGGCAGTGGCAAGAACAGGTCGAAAACTTTCAAGGCTAGAAAAGGGAGTGAGTTGAGTTTTATCTTCTGGAAGCCATGACGGGCGAAACAGTTCCTTCAGGACGAGAAAAGGCAGTTGGTTCTCCAATTTAAGAAGATCCCTGATGAGAATTGGGATTATCCAACCTGGAAAACTTAGTGGTAGATGAGCAAACACAAAACAGAGAGAACCATGACTGTTCAGGAGGATGAAGACATTGGACGACATTAACTATATACTTGGAATTGCAACTAGAAGAAATTTCAATCAGTAATTCAAGTTTGTATTACAAATTAGAATTGTAAATTTAGGATCCTTCTAATTCCCCGTCTAACTAGCCAAAACATTCAAATTTTATCACCACCAAAGGTAATCGGTTTTACAAGCAATTCCTAATGCTTGTACAAAGAAATTAGAATTACAATACTGAATAAATTTTCTGTAAGAAGACCCCAAATCGTCCTACAAACTACAGACTACTTAGCAGCTTTTTTGTTCAATTGCTGTGCGCTTGCACATTGGACAAAAGTTCCTCCGCTGCAACCAGTTTTTGATGCAATCAGAATGGTATTCATGTCCGCATTCAAGCTCTGCTATTGTCTCCCCATCTTCAAATTCCCCTTGGCATACAACGCAGATTTCACCCTCTTCATCAGCACCGTGATCAGTTGTCTTTCGATATTTTCTTGTTCTGAGATGCTCCAAGATGGTTTCTTCTTTCAAATTGCTATGTTGATCCGATCTTTCCGATGCTTCCAGGAAAGACATCTCCGAAATCCTGATGAACTCTACATCCAAATTATCCAGCTCTTCCTCATCCCCAACAGGCAAGATCATAAAGAGAACCGATAGCGGCTGTGGCTCATCATCGTCAGATTCTTCTTCTTCAACATGGTTATCCAAGGCTAGAAAGTTTTCCCTCTGAATCTCATCCTCTGTGGAGGGTGGAATGTTTTCTCGCCCATATTCGGAATCCTCCTGAGGAATTGAGTAGTATTCTGGATGATCATCATCATCATCCCAAGCTGATCGGAGGTTGTGTGGACGATTTTCTTGCATGTAGCGTTCTTGAACCATCATCAGATGGTTGAAGTGGAGAGGGTCATCGATTGTTTGGTTGGAAAAAATAACTGGCTGACGATGCATAGTTCCAAGAGATTGCATAATTGAAACTATTACTTCTGTAGGATTACTTTCTTACTTTTCTTCTTCTTGCTGCTGCTGAATTGTTGATCAAGGACTTCTTGCTGCTCGTGAATTATTGATCAAGAACTTCTTGCTGCTCCCGAATTATTGATCAAGGACTTTCTTCAGAATCCTTTCGGACTTCTTCTTTAGTAAGCAATAATGATGATGATTATTTAGCAATTGGGTCAAGTATAACTTGTATATATATAGCCAAATCCAATTTTTGGCAGAATCCTAGCATGTTTTGGATAAGCAGACGTTTCCTAATCAGCTTTGGATTAGCAAGCGTTTGAGATTTTGGTCAATCCTACGTCTGCTAGAAAGCGTGTTTTTCTTTGTTAGGAAGCATGTGTTGTTAACCTGACAATATTATGAGATGCCGACTTGCATGATTATTAGCTAGATAAATGTGTGGAACTTTTTCCCAAGCAAAACTGGCAGATACCCAAAGATGGAGTATGATCTATTTGTTTTTTAATGAAATATATTGAAGATTGATGAAGCCAGAGCAGTTAAAGCATCGATTGTCATGGAAGAGTTGCATTTGTTAAGCTACAATTACAAGGGAATTAGCTACAAATGGTAGATTATACCTCCTCTGGCCAACAGAAGATGATTCTGATGTACAAAATATAAATTACTGCATCATGTTTGTCGGAAAATGTATTTTCTGCTACAACTCCATTACGGTTATTATGCACGCCTGTATTCATCTCCACAGTCCCCAATCACTTTTAGAAGATCTTTCCCTTTCTCTGAAGCTTCTCGGATGCTGCTGAAGTCTTCTTCATCAAGAACGAGTGAAAAAACAGCATTGGTATCTTTAATGTGCTCTGCTAGGCCAAGCCTAACACCTACCATTGATCCAGCCACCGCCGGCTGCAATTATGGAGAAGCGGAAGGGGAAATATGTGAGACAAGGATCTAAACAGTTCTAAGAGAGACATTTTCTATGTTTAGCTTTGGAACATAGATATCCAGCATCAAAACTTGGGAATGACCTTACCTGATCTAGTACGTATCTCACAGCAACTGTTGGAATTGACACTCCATGTTTAGAAGCTACTTGTTTTAGTGTCTGTAACAAATTTTGGAAGAGACTCCATCCTCCCCATGCATCAACCATCTATGTTTTTTAATGCGTGCAAGTAAATTAAACATGGGAATCAGAAGGCGTATGATAATACGAATAAACTTAAAGAATACCTGCTTGCCTATCTGTTAATAGAGTTACTTAAATTCCCATCATTCAAAAAGGAACAAAATTCTTTTGTGTCCATGGAAAAGAAGTATTCAGAATGCAATTGCAAAGTAATTTAGTGGCATATCCTTGGAAGATCTTTGCTTTTTTGTTTTTTAACAATTTGTACAGGCAATTCTCCCATTGTGCCTTAGGTAAAATGTTCCCGAGTTGAATTTCCAGATCCATTTTTTAATATTTGTTTTGACTATTGGAATTTGGCATCATTCAAGAGGAAATTTGGAAGCAAGAAGACATACCCTTTTGTACTTCTGCAGTGAAGGGGTATTCAATGGAGGGCCAGCAAAAGGAATTGATAGGTTGGTATCAAGAAATTTCTCAGATAATAGGCCACCCATTACCGTTCCATATCTGCACATTAGCCGTATAAGAACAAGAAATGGCTAAAGAAGTGTAATATGTAACTCAATAAAGCCATAATGCTAAGTATTTAACTCATTCAAGTCATTTTGTCTTCTACATTCAGAAACTGTATCATTAGGTCCAGAAATACATTTTCATTTCTGAGAGAGAGAGAGAGAGAGAGACGTTATAAGTTTTACTCCAGTAAGCTGGCAAAGCTCTGCCATTTTCTGCTGAGGACGCATGTCAACGACTGAATGTTGTACCTGAAGAAACAACAGTCTCTGGAACTTAGTAAGATAGACATGGGGTATAGACAATAATATTGCTATTTTCATTCCAAATTAAAGAAATATTGGTGCTCATTTCAGGCCTCTACAAGTATAGAAATCAACTACACAAATTGACTTTTAAAGTCTTATATCTAAGAAATTAAATTCTCCTATGCCTACGCCTCCTTTTGCGTTACTTTTCTTCTTCTTTTGCAGTTCATATTAACATCCTTAGACATGTCAGGCATCAGCAGAACATCATAGGAGAAGCCCATTTCATGGAATCAACTTTGAAGTTGACTTTTAAAGTAACTTTGAGAAATCACCTTCTAAAGTATGGAAACTGAATAAAACTCTCAATATTTCTTTAGTTTGGAATAAATTAGCAGTATTGGTGTATATAGCCCCTAGAGATCAATGTATACACAAAAATACAAAAACAAGAAGAGATCTTTAAGTTATACTAGGCTAACCTGATTGCTTACTACCGGAATACCATTCTCCAGAATTTTCTGTAATCTCTCAGTATCAAAGTTGGTCAAAGCAACAGTCTTGATCTTACCTGCATGGGAATCACTGATATAATCCCATTTTAAACAAGGAATTCACTTCAAAGATGAGACTGTACAGCTGTTGGTCTGACACTAACCTTCGTCTTTCAGGTCTGTAAGGTGTTTAAGTGCATCAAGGTAGCCAGGATTAGAGTAGTCCCACCTGGTTCAGAAAGTTCAGAAAAAGGGTCAACAACAATTTGGAAGATATTTACCAGTGTCATCGATACTAAGATTGCTGCTTTGTTTCAAATTAAAGTACAGCATTTTGAATTATCTATAATAAGGTTAAGAAATCTTCACAGATGAGTTACACTAAACACATCACTGTCTTCACTAAAAGTGCACAATCAGAAATGAGCTATCAGTACCGTATATAAGATTGAGGTGGCTTTTTGCTAAAAGGTTTAAAAACTGCCAAAAACAAACTATTCCTGAGATCAAAGAAATTCACTGGACTGAGTAAATATTCATTGTACATGTCGTCTAACGCAGTTCTATCTCAGCAGACACCTTCAGCATCCTAAGCCTAAGAATGATCCTGTCTCCTAGACCTAGTAATTAAAGGTTTAATATGTCAAGTACTACCATGAAGAAGGAACACAAGGAAAAATATTGGATACCAGTGAAACTGCAGCATATCCAAAGAAGAAACGTCCATCCTCCTCCGCGAAACATTAATGCTATCACGTACGAAGCTACTAGTCATCTTCACTGGTGGAGGAACCCATTTCGTTAGGCTGCATTGAAGAAGAAACAAGTGCACTCAGATTGCATTGCTATATTAGCGAGTAATACTTCTCATCTCAACAATGCTATCCTTGAGCAATTTAACATTAAAATGGCTGTAACTTACCCTCTGATATTTTCCAGAACCTCAGGAGGGCGCTCTCGACGCACTCTATTTATGAAGATCCCATAAAGATCCTCGGCAGGTCCATCTGCAACATAGACATAATCACTGAACTACGTACTCAAATACAGAGTGACAATAACTCATATCCTGTTATCCCACTAAATAAACAAGTAGATCTCTGATAAGTGCACCATTTCACTGATAGTAGTCAATCTAGAACGGTGTATAAGGCCAAGATTTGTGACTGTGGTTCAACCAGATACAAATGTAAAGAAAAGATACAAAGTCCTAGCTCTATGATGCTTTACATATATCAGCCATATCAAAGGTGTTTAATCCAGCATCAGCATACTGAAGCATTGCATCAACTGCAGCATTTTGTTCAATTCTTCCCCATCCTCCACTAGTCTGCCACATCCCATTAACTACCCTGCAAATCTCCAATGAATCTTTCCCATTTTTAACCACAGCCCTCCTTTTATCTTCAGTCAAGACACATTGCACTGAGCTCGAAAAAACTTTCCTTGCCTCAGTGACTCCAAAAGACCTTATCTTGATTGAGTTTATGCTCAATTGGCTAAAGCAGTGGCTCAAGTACTCTGCCATTGTGATTCTGTACTTAGCCTTGGCTTCCAGAGTTGCTTGACTTACCTCATAGACAAACCTTTGTTTGCTAAATTGTAAAAAACTCTTTCTTTGCTGTTACACTCTAAAAGTGATAATGGAACAGTCGAACTGGAATAAATCCTATCTCATCTATGTCCTCAGCTCCCAATCACCACCTGGAGTGTTTTCTTGTCCAAATTACACTTTTGCCCATGAGCCAAGTTCTTAAAAAGGAAAGGAAATATCGAGTGCATCTTTCTTGGTTCGTGTTACTGGAGTTTTATCCATATTATATGCATTTCCATCTAATTTCTTACCATTTGTCTGACATGGTATATTTCGTACTTATGATTTTACTATATAGCCCTTGCTAATTACTTAGACCACCAAATGATCAAAAAAGATCAAGGGGGAAAAAAAGGGAAAGAAACAGACACATTTTTTCTCCGATTAAAACCAATAGCTACCTAGCCATAAGTCCCATCAACTACTAAAATTTTTTTCTTAAGAAAAAGAAAAACTAGCGATAGAAAGACAGGGGAAGAGTATTTGAAGGGTAGAAATGTAATTTGACGAAAGTAGTAACAAGTTATTAGAGAGGAAACTGACAGTGGTCAGCCATGTCAAAGGTGGTAAGACCAACGTCAGCATAATTAAGCATGGCCTCAACGGCGTCGTCTCGATCAATTCTGCCCCACCCGCCACTCGTCTGCCACATCCCATTGAGCGCTCTGCATATCTCCAGAGAATCATTCCCATTCTTTAAAGTCGTCAGCCGCTTTTCTTTCTCCGCCACCACCCCTCCAACTTCTGCCGCCACCTCGCACCGCACAGCTCCTCCGAGCCTCCACCTCACTCCGCCGCAATTCCGACTCGCCGGAGCCTTGAAATAATTAGTGTTGCTGATAAAAGTGGATGCGGTTTTTGTGGCTCGGGGGTGTCGCAATGAAACTGTGGTCGAAGCTGTTGCCATTTGTTTTTCTTCGTTATTATATTTTCTGTTTCTCTTCGTTTGTTGTCGAAAATATATGCAATAGAGATAAGATGAATTTAGTTGGTGTGACTGATAGCATGTTACTTGTTAAATGACGATTTTGCCCCTCCACCCCTCTCTTCCCTCTTTTCTCTATTCTCTGGCAATGTCACCATATTATACTATAGAATTACCGTTGTTGTCTCTAACTTCTATTGTAACCAAATATTGAAGTAAAATCAATAGCCAAATGGCTGTTGATCACTATCAAAACTGTTAAAGCTTGTTAGGATGGAAGGTCAAAGTTCAAACATTGTCTCCTATCACTTGTTACTATATGTGATTTGTCATTTGAATTGGCTTCCTTTAAATCTATATATATGACTCTTTTGGTCTAATGGTCCTATCGATTCTCTCGTAAGCTTAGTTGAGTCCTTTCTCTATAATAGATTAGAGTAGCAGTAGGAGTAGGTGTA